TGGCCAAACCTTTAAAAAAAAAAAAACCCTTCCGCCATGTAATATACCCAAAGGCTTCATAGTAGTTCATTTTTTGGGGTTACCTTATAGGATCCTAAATACAATCCACAAGCAGGAACTACTATGGAGCCTATGGGTAGAAGCCTGAGCAGTTAATGAAAAAAAGTTACTGTTCAGGTTATTTTGTACTAAAGTTACTCGAGCTTGCCCCCGAAACCCCCATTCTAACTCGTACTTACGGCCCCCCCCCCATAGTCAGAGGATCAAGGTCTCGAAGCTGGGGTATCAGTGTCAGAGAAGTACTGAGAGTGTGGCTCCCGCCGAACTCTTCAGGGGAAAGCCTCGAATTCTGAGGCCTCAAGCCTCAACCTTTCACATCAAGTTTCGGATGTCCCCAGCGCTCCAGTTACCTACCCATAGGCTCCATAGTAGTTCTTTTTTGTGGCTTGTATTTAGGATCCCGTAAGGTAATCCCAAAAAGAAACTACTATGGAGCCTATGGGTACTGGTAACTTGCTATCTATAGGCACCTGGAGCCCAAGCGGTTCTTTCGACAGGAGACATCCCGTCGTGAGCTGCCGAAGCCGATGCTGTCCTTCAGCCCCTCGGGAACCAATCGCTGAGAGATGAAGAATTGAACCCTAAACCCTAAACCCTAGACCGTAGCCAGCGTATAGGATTCTGGGATTTTAAGGGTTCGGAGCTCTCGGGCTAAGGAGGCGAGCTGAGGTTGCGGGTTCAGGACGAATTAAGTGTGGATCAGGGCTTTGATGGGATAAAATCAGGTGCTGATAGGCGCAGACGTCGCTCCGGTGGAGGACAGGCTTGGGCAGGACTGGGCATCCCTCATGTTTGCTGTAAATTGAGGTCCATTGCTATGTGGCAAGCAAAGTCTAACACCCGACATGTGACCCCCGTTGTTCATCTCAAGGCTGCACTAGAGGGGAGCAAGGGTTGCAGGACTTGCTGGCAGCATGGCTCTGCGCTTGCTGGATGACACCAACCACTACGTGACTACACAAGACTTGTACAACCTTCTGCTTCTCAGCCACCACGTTCGTCGGACAGATTGGGCCCAGCGCGTTCTGCCCTTTCTGGGATGGCGCATGTTGCAATCAAACGCCGTGGCCGGCTTGGTCTTCTCAACATGGGCCATCAGTGAGGCTGGACAGCTTGCCTGCTTCGGTCGCGATTCGTATAGTCTGCCTCCCGACCTCGGTCCGGTTGTGGCCGTGGCTGTTGGACTGCAACACACCTGTGCCGTGAAGGCGAGTGGCGAGCTGGTTTGCTTTGGAGACAATGATTATGGTCAGTGCGGTGTTCCTCCCGAACTCGCTCCGGTGGTGGCCGTGGCTGCCGGAAGTTATCACACCTGTGTGGTGAAGGCGACTGGCGAGCTGGTTTGCTTCGGAAACCATGAACACGGCGAGTGCGATGTGCCTTCCGATCTCGGTCCGGTGGTGGCCGTGGCTGCCGGATATCTGCACACTTGTGCCGTGAAGGCGAGTGGCGAGCTGGTTTGCTTCGGAAACAAACAATTTGGCCAGTGCGATGTGCCTCGCGATCTCGGTCCGGTGGTGGCCGTGGCTGCCGGAGCATATCAAACCTGTGCCGTGAAGGCGAGTGGCGAGCTGGTTTGCTTCGGAATCAATCTGTATGGTCAGTGCGATGTGCCTCGCGATCTCGGTCCGGTGGTGGCCGTGGCTGCCGGAGGACATCACACCTGTGTGGTGAAGGCGACTGGCGAGCTGGTTTGCTTCGGAAGCAATAGCGATGGTCAGTGCGATGTGCCTCCCGACCTCGGTCCGGTGGTGGCGGTTGCTGCTGGAGAAGGTCACACCTGTGCCGTGAAGGCGAGTGGCGAGCTGGTTTGCTTCGGACGCAATGAGAATGGTCAGTGCGATGTGCCGCCAGGCTTCAAGGTTCGGCTTTCCCCACAGTCCATCCGGGCACCAACCCCCGATCCAATGCAGGAGGTGCTGCAGCACGTGCATCACAGCGAGCCTGCCGCCCACATCTCGCAAGAGGAGGGCGCTGCAATCGTGGCGGAGCAGGAAGCATCGTGGATTGAGCACAACATCGGTTCCGGCTGGCATGGCGACGACTTGCAGCCTCAGATGCCTCAGATGCCTGCCGGGCTCACCCGGGTGGTGCAGTTGGCGTTGAGCCGCTCGCACCCCCAGTTGGATGCATATCTAGAACAGTCTCCTGCTTTGCGGCCATATCGGCAGGCCTTGGAAGAGGAGGACTTCAACTGGCAGTTGCAGCCATCAGGCACAAAAGTCTTCATGGAGCCCTGGTGCTTCCGAGCCATCCGCGGCCACCT